CGCTGGCCAATAGAATCTTTCTGCCTATTCGTGGCAGCCAGCTATAGGCTCTCACTTTGGCCAGGAGAAAATGGCCGCAAACTACATGAAAACTGCCGGAGAAGCATGAAAAAAAAATCGATTATTTCCACTATCGATGGGAGTTGGGAAATGCAAAGTCGGTCTTGGCCTTCCCGCTAACTTGGAGCATGTGCATGTAGATTTTGGTGCAAATCCGTCGAAAATTGCGGCCGTGCAGTCGTTACAAACACACACACACACGCGCACACACATCCTGTCTTTTATAGATAGAGAATAAAATAAATACCTGTTACAATGTAAAGTTTTATTTGCTGGATGATGGAAATATCTATCTTTGTAATGAAGAGGAAAGGTCTTTCGTTCTGCGCAGTTGCGAACAGACGACAGTAAACATTTGGGTGAAATACCACAATTTTTAAAATATCAGATTAGTGGCCACGTTACAAATTTGAAATTACTGGTCACTTCATAATATATATATATATATATATACCTGTTGGAATGTAAACTTTTACTTGCTGGATGATGGAAACATCTGTCTTCACAATGAGGAGGAAATGTAGTTCAATCTCCGCAGATGCGAACTGGCGGCAGCAGATATTTGGCTGAAATATACATGATTTTTAAAAAAAAGCTCAAATTAATAGCCACGTTAAAAATTTGTAATTACTGGTCATTTCATTATATATATATATATATATATATATATAATACCTCTTGGAATGTAACGTTTTATTTGCTGGATCATTGAATCATCTATCTGTGCAGTTAGGAGCAAAGGTCTTTCATTCTGCGCAGATGCGAACAGACGAGAGCATATATTTGGGTCAAATATCCATGATTTAAAAAAAGAAAGCTCAGATTAATAGCCACCTTACAAGATTTAAACTTCCAGACAGACCGCAGGATACATTTGACGGGTAGTAACTACAGAGTTAACAAAATAAAGAACAACGGTTGAAATTGAAATAAATAAATAAATAAATAAAGAAAGAAAGAAAGAAAGAAAGAAAAGAAGAAAGAAAGAAAGAAAAGAAAAGAAAATGGCCGCCAAGTGCCATCAAACTGTGGACGAGTTCGTTTAAGATCTTGGACGACTTGATAAAAAATGGTATAATAAATGCCTGTGGAAGAATTTATCTTGCTAGTCTGTATCGCACATCAAGAGTCAGTCAGTTATGTGCCATGTGTGATACATGCTTAGGCGATCATGTATTTTTCGATACATGACATGATCGATCACATATTCTCGATTGGATTTAAATCAAATGTATCTTTCGATACATGACTGATGAGGCAGATTTTTTTCCCGCAGTAGGTTGCCATTTCTTTCTGCAGTAGACCAGTTGCCATCCAAGGCTATAGAACCCGGCCGGTCCTGCTATTTACCCATAGCTGGGGAGGTGGGGGGAAGAAAAAGAGCATTCATACCTTTCCCAAGGCTAATTAGCACGCAAGTGAATGTAATGGATTCGATTGGAATTCGAACTCAATCCGAGCCGCTATCCATAATTCCACCGTAAAAAAAAAACCCTTCTTTTATCAAGCTATGAAATATTTAAGCGTTGTGGCAGAGAGAAAGTAATGAAAAGCATAACATGTCGGCACCTAAATCAAGCATCAAAACATACAGGAAGATGTAAAGAGCCGTGATCACCTACACCCTGGTGCAAATTAATCGAAACAAAAAGAATAATTCCGATATTATTTACTTCCATTTCGTATTTTTCAAATGAAACATGACCCAGTTCACATGTTAGTACTTCGTATGTCCGTATGTAAGTTGTTTCTTGCAGATTGACCCCATATTCTCGATTGGATTTAAATCAGGAAATATTCCAGGCCAGTCTATAGTACTTTGATTTGCTCACTGGTAAGGCTTGCCAGTGTGCTCGTGCAGCGTTACAATTTTCGTACTCTTCCTTGGAGTAACGGCTATCGCAGATGCAGGACAACTAATCGACAGTCGAGACAATAGTGTCTGGGCGTGATAAAAATCTGATGCAATCACGGACGACGTAATATTTTTCAGGGCCAATCAAATTTCATCATACAGCCCGAAAATAGATTCATATGACTGAACGCCACTGCAAATGACCTAATCTGAGGAAAAATAGAAATCGATTACACTCCAGTGGGTCTAAAACTGACCGTAGGGTGAAAGAAAGGAAACTAAAGCAGTTGTTTTAATTAATTTGCACAAGTGTGTATGAGATCGATCTTCAGTCTCCCTTTAAAAGACACTCATCAGGAGCATCTAATGAAACAGGCATCTGAATACATCTGAATACATCGATACATTTTTTCAGACAAATGCTGGGTTGCTGTTCAAAGAGCTACTCGGGGAAACCGCACTCACAAATTGAAACGCTAAACCATATGTGAGTTTGGATGGAATTATAGCTGGTGAAGTGGTCGGCCCACGGCGAATTTTAGATCGTGTTGACAGCTCAGACATACATTGACACTTTGAAAGCACACATAGAGCCTCCATTGAAGAAGACGTGAAATCGCTTCCAGAAGGAAAGCTATTCTATCGATGCAAGACTATGCTTGCTCGCAACCAGTGAATAAAACTAACGAGTATCTGAATAAAACCACAACCCGATGGAAAACTTAGGGAGCGTTATGAAGAGGAAGGTTCACATTGGCGGACGGCAATTTATAATAAAATACAGCAGCTCAGAAAATAAATGGATTGAATATTTCTGAAACTATTTGAAGAGGATGGAGCAGTGAATTTGTATTTTTTTAACTTTTTCGTCACTTACAACAACACTGAAGTCTTAATGTCTCCAGCAAGGCTTTCATATTATATCTTGGCGGATTTGCCAGACTGTGAACGGTGTGGCCATGGCTTAGAAGAAACAGCTGCGCACGCCTTCTATCATTGCCCCCAGGTCTGCCCCTTATGGGACCATGTCGGCGAGCTGATAAATCGTCTCGCTCCCGAACAGCTTGTGTCCATTGATCGCGCATATACGTGTAACAATGTGTCGCCCCAGTATTCCGGGATGAAACGGATGGTGTTTCTGACGCTGATGGCCACAAATCGAATGGTGATTTGGACGACGCGAAAGGAGGAAGTCTTGCGAGGCAATCGTCTTTCTCATTCGGATCTAATTCGATTCTTTTGAGCATCAGCTCAAGATGAAGATTAGATCGGATAGAAAACGATTGCATTCTCAGTCTTTAAAGGTGGGTAAAAGAAGCGAGCTTGCTTCGTTTGAACGGGGCTAGCCTTGATTTTCTCTTCTAGGTCAACCTAACAGACATCGGGGTGGCTTCCTGTGGAACCCTCCCAATGTTAGGTTAGACAAGCTTCAGTGTACCTAGTTAATGTGAGTAAAATGTTGTTCCTGGTCTGCATCCCGGCCGTTCACTTGGTTATGATCCAAGTCGAGATTCCCAAATCCCCAGTTTGTTTTTGACCCCCCACTTTCATCTCGACTGGGTCAAAAAATTTTATTTTCCCATTCCAGCCTAATATTTTATACTTTTTTTGCCATATTGAAATATGTAGCGAGAGCGTCTCTTGATTTTGTCCCCTGGGCATAAATACAGCGGTCTCTCTGTTTTATGGGTTGGACGGTCCCTACTAACATCAATTATGTTTAGTTTGTATTTGTGTTTATTTTAAGTTTATTATTGGGTTCATTTAAAATGAAGATTTTATCATTATTAGAATTGGATATATATATATATATCATCATTAAAATTTTTATGGCATGGGGCGCGATTTTGGTAGGTCTTTGAGAGTCGTGGTATTATGGTGGTTGAAGGATTGTTTGGTGATGGACGAGTTCTTTTTGGTGAATGAGTAAAATGTAATGTGTGAATGGGTCGCGAATCTGATTAGCTAGGTAGAAGATAGTTAGTGTTGACCACCCTCTACCCCTCCCCTTTATTGGCCTCGTGCCACAATTTGTACTTTTTGTACGAATAAATATCAGTCTTAATGTCTCCAGCCATTACCTC